AGTTAGAAAAGCTGATTAAAGTTTATGGACAAGAGAAGGATGGGGAGAACGTGATCCATGAGCCAATAATTGATGGTGAAGAGACAAGGCAAGAATGGAGCTATTTAAAGGAACTTCTAGTCTAACAGCATTATCCAAAAGACAATCTACGGTCACTGCTATAAATATGTGAACATATTAAAAGGTTACTCATACTGACATGTATAACAAAGTTAGTTGATGTTAGAGAGCACTTAAATGTATGTACACCTGAGCAATTACACAGCAAGTTCCTGCTTGGTTAATTAATGTAAATTTACAAACTGTGAAAATAAAAATAAATTTACATTAACCTACTTATGTACATTTTTGCAGGGAAATATGGTACATTCGATTTTCGTTTTTCTTAGAAATGATAGCAAGTTGTGCAACTCATTTGGACTTGCTACCAAAGAAATATGAGACAATTTGCTATTTTAACAACAATGCAATTAAGAAATGCACCTATGGCAAAGCTTTTAACATTGTGACCATTGCCCATTTTGTTTACTTGCCCAATTTGCAATTTTAGGGCAAGTAAACAGCCCCAACAGCCAAGGTAAGTTTAAATATATTGGAAGTTTCAAATATGTTGTGGCAACATGTATTTGGCAAGGTTTCTAGCACAGTTTGTGGTATTTTGCATGTTTTTGTGAATTTCACAGGGTTTACCTGAAATTCATGGCTCCCTGACTGCACGAAAACATCCGAAACCTTGAATCAGTAACCTTCTTCAAAAGTAATAACTAGCCAAGACAAAATTTGTCTTATTACTCAAATGACCCTACTCTAGAATAATTAGCCATAAGTTATGACTTTTTCATGCATTTCATTTTGGAAAGTATCCAAAGAATTTATTAAATGAGTCATGGCTGATAAATATTTGGTCCCCCTCTAAAAATAATGGTAAAATCACTTGCTTATTTATTTACCTTCTATGCTGCTCCTTTTAGGGTGCTTTCATGATTAACTGATGATAGCTTTCCATGATTTAAATATTGAAAAACAGTCAGGTGAAGAAATGGTGGTGAGGATCTACTTTGCAGAAATGACATAACCTTTAGCTCAGCAGCCAAGCAGCAATCCTTTTGATTTAAGACCACCAAAGAACCAGTTGGTTTACCCATAGAGAAAAGAGCTCTTTCAACATAGTCCAGAATTTCTGTAAAGGAAACACAAAACATGTTGGGATATTGTCATCACGTTGTCCATGGAGCTCGTTAAGTTATGGTGTGAAAAGGTTTACTGGTATAAGATTAAGTCCATTTATATCATAAAACGATAAAAATCAAACTGGTTCATAAGTGTTGTGCGAGGGAAACATTTAACCTCTTCACATCCCTACCCTATGATTGATGTGCTAAATCTGATTTTGGAAAAATCCCCTTGACACATTCATCGAATACTGTACATTTATAAATTAACCTATAAGTGTTTTGTCTAGGAATTATCCCTACTGTAGGTCTCATAACTACTTATTTAAGGGCACAAAAATGCATACCTGTGAAGCACTCTCTCCTCGCTCCCCATTGTTTACTGTCAGTGAATATAATACATCTGCACCCCAGGGCTAATTTCGCCATGCCTGATCAACATCTTTCCATATATGCCTCTGCCTAATGTTCATTCTCACTGGTATTTTGAGACTCGTGTTGTTGAGCAACCTATGGAGGATATCCTTGATGCTTTCCTTGGTCTCAGGCTGAGTAACCTGTAGGGCTGGATCTATTATGCAAACCTCTCTTCCTTCATCCACACAATTTGAACTTTGTTCCTTTCCATCATTTGATACATCCCTCACTAAAACATTTCAGCATGCATCTGCCTGTTCTGCTACTGTAATTACAGGAAAAGAGAGAAAGTAATATGTGGGACATTCTACATCATTCATCATAATACTGAATCTTTATTTGCAGGATCTGTTCTGGACACTTGTTCCTTGTCATTTTTCAGTGTTTCGTCACCACCTCAACTAGGCTGATCTTCCCACACATTGTCACTTTCATGAGACTGTTAACTTAGAGAACAAATAGTCACTTTACTAGCAATAAAAAAACTGAAGTGGTTTTACAATTTTCCAATGTCTTTTCTGCATTTTTCAATGCCTCTGTTGTGCGAGGTAAATTCACCATCCCCCTCGGGTCAGGGAAGAGCAGAATAAATTCTAAACCTTCATGGATCCTTTTTTTGTAATAAGCAGGTTTTGTTAGAGCTTTATTGAGGATCACATCACTGGCTGTTGACTTTTCATTAACGGGTAACATTTTTCCTTGGCATCGCCTCAGGTTCAAAGGTCAGGCTTCTGAACAAGCAAGTAAAATATGTGACCTCTCACGCGAAAACGTTCCTTGCGGTATCCGTTCGAACGGTCGAACGCACGGTATGTGAACGGATGACAAACGGATAGAGAAACCGTTTAAAACGGATGCCGTGAACGGCTGAACGGCTTCAGAAAAATTTCGAACGGTTGAAGTCGAACGGT